TTTAGAACCAGAGCCAAGATTTTAAAAAGTGACTAGTGATTTTGGTCACCCAACACCTTAAGGGGGGCCTGATTTGGAGAAATTGCTAAGCGCCTGGCCTCTGAAAATTTAACCCCTTTGACGTGTCTCATGTTGAATACTCGCAGACTGAGGCCACCAACCTCTCTAGTCATTTCTGAGCATTTAAGTCCAGACTCTTCTTGGCAATAGTTATGTTTTTTCCCCTCCACCATTGTTCTTTTCCACTGGTGGAAGCATGGCCTTCTGTTAACATTATTCAAAAAGCTTAGGAAGCAGATTGGGCTGGGGACGATTTACACATTGCACTGACATTGGGTTGGGGTCATGTGAATGGGGCAAAATTATAATCACCCTGATTCATAAGCAGGGGAGACAGGGGTGGGGAGAATCATGCATGACCACAGTGACAGTGAGCTACTGGGGTAGATGAGGCTTGCAGTCTTGTTTCTTTTTTCCCTGTGTGGTACATCCCACGTCAACCACCTTTAGGCGTGGTTTGAAGCAAGGAATCCTGGCTGCATGGGGCCATGCTACAGCCTAGCATACTGTCACCCCTCCAGGACTTCAGACAGTCTTCAGTGCAGTTCTTGTTAGCTGAATCAGTTAGATTTTGTGGATTGCCTTTGGGGAGGTTGGGTTTCTCAACAATAAAACAAACAAAGAGGGAGAGTAAGAAAGAAAAGCAAATAGGGAAATCAGCAGCTAGTCAAGTGTTTGTCACATATCTCCCTGATTCTTAAGCACAAACTTGAGTCTCTCCCAGATTGGATAGAACAAAGGATGAGTCCATTCCTTAATGGGTTCTTTCTTTTCCACACTCCTGTTTCTTTCTCTGTTTTTCTCTTGCTCCATTAATGTGTCTGTCTGTGTTTTTCTGTCCTCCTACATGGTCTCTGGCCAGCCATATCCCATAAGGGGCTTTACAGAGGAGCTGACTGGCACTGCAGACCGTTCAAGTGGGAAAGCTGAGGTTTTAGTCTGGCCTTATATATGTGAAAAGGAACTCTGTGAAACAGTTTCAAAGGGGAAAGCCCAGAGATTTACTGTTTGCTCAGTCTTGTGCTTCTGCTGGTGAACCACTAGAACAATAGGTACAGAGTGCTGCCATGGCAATACACACTTCCTGATCTCCAGTGATGGTAGGATAACCTTTCCCTGTATTTCATATGCACACATGCTCTGCGATAGATGTATATAGCTGGGAAGAGGAAGGATAGTCCAGTGGTTAGAGCACTAGCCTTTGAACTGAGAGACCAGGGTTCAAGTTGCTGCTACATAGACTTCCAGCGTGATCTCGGTCAAGTCACGTTCATCCTCACTGTGCCTCCACTCCTCATCTGTAAAATGGGGATGGTAGCACTGCCCTACTGCCCCGGGGTGTTGAGGATAAACACATTAAAGATTGTGAGGTGCTCAGAGTCTGTGGTCATGGGGGCCATGTAAGTACCATAGACAGATGTGTGGGGTGACAAGGTGCCAAGCTTCTCTGTTGTTGTCCATGGAAGACTTTCCAAGTGTGAGCTTGTGAACTCTGAGTGAGTCATAATTACTTTAAAGTGTGGTTCTGTTCTGGAAAGTGATGTTTTTAAGAAGAAGGGCATGAGGAGGTTCCATGTTTGTTTTCTTGTGGCAGCATCCGTCTCATAGGCATAGCATGTCCATAGGCAATGTGGTTTAGGGGCCAGAGCGCTGCACTGGAACTGGAGAGACTTGGGTTCTTTTCTCTGTTGGGTGACATTGGGCAAATCACTTCACTTCTGGACCTCAGTTTCCCCATCTGTAAAGAGCTGCTGGCCTCCTTTGTAAAGCACTTCGGGATCTTCTGATGAAAAGCACTGTATTAACAGTTAGGTTTTATTATTGTTTATTATTGTTTCAGTTTAAAGGAGGTTTATTTTTTCCAGTTTCCAGCTCTGCAAAGTGCAAACACAAACTTGGAATATAAAGTCAGTCATCTTTCCCCACTCTCCTGCATCATATCTTTTTGCTAGTGATAGCGATTTGGCAATTGAAACTTAATAATGTTGTTGATAATGGTAGGTACCCAAATTCACAGTCCATTTTGGTCAATTTCATGGTCATTTTAAAAATCGTAAATTTCATGATTTCAGCTATTTAAATCTGAAATGTCACGGGGTTGTAATTGTAGGGGTCTTGACCCAAAAAGGGAGGGGAGAGGGAGGAAGGTCTCAAGGTTATTGTAGGGGGGTTACAGTACTGCTACCCTTGCCTCTGCTCTGCTGCTGGTGGCAACGCTGCCTTCAGAGCTGAACAGCTGTAGTGCGGCGGCTGCTGCCCGGGAGCCCAGTTCTGAAGGCAGAGCCGCCGTCAGCAGCAGCACTGAAGTAAGGATGGCATTGTATAGTATTGCCACCCTTACTTCTGCGCTGCTGCCTGAGAGCTGGGCCCTCAGTCAGCAGCCGCCACTCTCTGGCTGCCCAGCTCTGAAGGCAGCAGCGCAGAAGTAAGGATGGCATGGAATGATATTGCCACCCTTACTTCTGCACTGCTGCTGGCAGGGCACTACCTTCAGAGCAGGGCGCCCGACCAGCAGCCACCGCTCTTCGGCTGGCCCAGCTCTGAAGGCAGCACAGAAGTAAGGGTGGCAAGACTGCGATTCCCCTAAAATAACCTTGTGACCCCCGCAACTCCCTTTCGGGTCAGGGCCCCCAGTTTGAGAAACGCTGGTCTCCCCCGTGAAATCTGTATAGCATAGGTTAAACGCACACAAAAGACCAGATTTCACGGAAGGAGACAAGATTTCATGGTCCGTGATGCGTTTTTCGTGGCTGTGAATTTGGTAGGGCCCTATGCATGAGCCAGAATAGCATCCAGTTTACACTTCCATTCTTGTATTGGCAGTGGAGGACTAACGGGGTATGAAGTAGTAAAAGCTTAATTTTGTCGCTAGACTGCACAGATCTAACTCTCAATACACAAAGGAAGCACGTTTGCTGAGTAAGAAAGCGCTGTTTATACAGAGGTACTTTTCTCACCATAAACGTACAGTAAGCAGATATTCTAGGTATCTTCAGATATCTGGGACTAATTGTTAACTATTTGATTGTGTAATAAAAGCAACATTATATTTCAAGAGATGCTCTTTCAGCTACCATGCTCCCCCACAGCATTCTCCTAATACCCCATTACTTTGGGAAAATTTTAAGAACTTTGGCTCAAATCTCCTTTAGGTTTGGGCCCCTTTATGAGAATCAGTCTCTTTTCAGTGTGGCTGACTCGTGCAATTAGTCTGCAACTCTCACAATACTTAGCATTTTTCCTAAAGCCCCAGCTTCTGGAATTAGAAGATTGCAGGAGAGTCTCAGCTTTTTTTTAAATTGAGTTTCTAGCCTTAGTGGTTGCAGAGAGAATCTGCAATAAATGATCTGAGTATATCCAAAAAGGCTTGAAAACCAGAAGATAAAATAAAAAGAACCTAATATTTATCATCTCATTATTTTTAAGATAATCCATGATTTTTGAACACCTGGGGTTGGCAATACTGTTTTACTCCCATCTCTATAATTGTGAGTCATAATAAGGGGAATAATCTCTGTATAATGTAGCTGTCCGAATTATTCATCGGAAATACATTAGCCAACAAATTTAGCCCTTTATTTCTGTCCACAAACCAACCCTGATTTCTGCAGTTGTATTTATAGGTAATTTCACCATATAATTTATGTGCACAAATTCAGCCTATGGGTTGTTAATGAACTGTTCACTGTTCTTTACTCATGGTATACAATTGGTCATGTAAGTCATATAGCACTGGTTCTGCTTCCTGATTGGATGACTTGAGCTTTTTAAACAGGAGAATAATTACCAGTAAAGACTGAATAATGAACAGCAAATGTCCTTTTTTGTTAAACAAATACCCCTGTTTGCCTGTGAATACTGATATTCATAGGAAGAAAAGACATCCCCCAGATGTCTGTACGAACAAAATCACACTATGCTGGATAATTTTTATTGGGAAAAAATCCCAAATGTTTGTGAAATGGGAATAATAAGAGGCACAAGGGATCAAACTCAGAATTCAGACTGATATTTGTGTATGGTGGTTTTGCAGTGTTCGACCAGATCTGGTGTGTAAGAATGGCCAGAATATGCCCAAAGTTAGGTCTGGTCTCCACTTAAAGCTTTTGCTGGGTTAGCTATTTCAGTGAAGGGGTGTGATTTATTTATCTATTTATTTTTACTGATGTAGCTGTGCTGGCAAAAGTCCTAGTGTAGATGCAGTTATGCCAGCAAAAAATGGCCTTTTGCTAGTTTGCTTGGGGAACTGGTATAAGCGGTGTCTATCCTAGGAAGGTTTGTTAGGATGGTTAAACCAGCAAGCCCTTTCTAGTGTAGGCAAGACTTTAGGGACCTGAGGCCATATTTAGGCCCCTAAATAGATGGCCTGATTTGAAGAGAAGCTGTGTAACTGCTGCTTCTAGTAACCTCACTGGGAACTGTGAGTGCTCAGCACCTTTTGAAAATCAGACCGTTTGCTTAGGAGCCTGAGTGCTTGTCTGTAAGGAAAGTTTTGTATTATACCAGTATAGTTGTACAGCTATAGTTATACTGGTATGAACCTTCAGGGTAGATACTTCTATTCTGGAATAAGGGGGGCGTTTTCAGTTTAGCTTAAACCCCTTCCCGAATGACACAAGCTAAACCAAACAAAAAAGGCTATCTTATACTGGAATAAGTGGGTCCACACAGGACGTTATAGCTATAACTGTACTGGTTTATAGTCACACTTTAGCTTATAATGGTATGTTTTCTATGTAGACAAGTCCTAAAGTTGGCATTAGGTGTCTAGATTCAGGAAGCTAAGTGTGGAAAGTTTGGCCAGAGCACTTACAAAGAAGCCGCATGGCACTACCTCCCCATGTCCTAACGTAACCTATACGTGCTGTGGGTAACATAACTGTTCTTTGCTTCAGCACCTCTTGGCATATGGCTATTGACTGTGCTCTTTCTCCACCCAGCACTGCCAGTAACTCGAACCGCAGCACGCCTGCCTGCTCCCCCATCCTGCGCAAACGTTCCCGGTCTCCAACCCCACAGGACTCCCAAGGAGACGCCATGGTGGAGAAAGGCTCAGACCACTCTTCAGACAAATCCCCTTCCACTCCGGAGCAGTGTGTGCAGCGCAGCTATTCTGCTCAGTCGGGCCGCAGTGGGGCCAAGAACTCCAAGGTGAGGCGTGCGACCCGAGGATCACCTCTCCCCCCCATATACCCTCGAGTGTTGTACTTACTCTTTGTTCTGTGCCTTTCTTCTCTGCATCTCTCTCCTCCCCTCATCGTTACCCAAGAACCTTTGCTGAGGTGCCCATTGGCTACTGGGGCACTTGACTGGTTAGGACAGAGCTGAGCAGGTGCTAAATACGCCCTTGTCTCCCCTCCACTAAGCTCAGACCACAATGCACCAATTGCTCTAGCAAGCGTGCCCATACTGCTGCTCCGTAATGGCTTCTATGGGCTGAAGCTTTGGGACCCATGTCCCCTTTCCCTGGGAGCCTGCACTGTTCCCAGTGGGACCTTGAAAGCCAGCTGTAGCGAACCTCCCTTTTCAGCCGTTCATCACAAGGTTCTGTGGCACAAACTGAGGAGGAGGGCTCCAGAAGGGGCTCTGAAAAGCTTCTGGTTCGCTGAGGGTGAAGTGCATGCTGCACAGAGAGCTGGCACAGGTCCTAGGCACCACATCAGTCCCATTTAAGACCTAATTTGAGACCATAAATGGGATTCAGGGGCACTCGTCCACCTAGAACCCAGGCTTCCTTGGCTGCAGGATTACTCACAACCAATGTATCCTATCCGAACTGGGAGCGGGGTGGATTTTGCTCATCGTTACCAGGGCTCCCCAGTGACTGATTTGAATCTTCTTGATGGCTGCATTGCACTGCCCGGCACCTTTTCCTCAGGTAAAGGACATGGCAGGAAGGAAGGAAGGAAGAGGCTGACATAGATGGCCTCTCTGTAGCTACCCCCCGCCCACGGTGTGTCCTGACACCATCAAGCCGAAGGAGCTGTGTAAAAAGCCCTTTGCTTCTCCTCATAGTGCAGGTACCCTCAGTCCAGAAGGTGGCTGGGTTTACCATTTTCATGACCTTACTGGAGCCAACTGCAGCGTGAGCCTCACTGTATGGACAGAATGAAAGGGAAAATTGCTCGGCGAGGGCGTGCAAGGAGATTTGGGATGGGCCTGTCCGCCCTGCTGATTTTGTTAGTGATGGTCAGTGGTGCCTTATGACATACAGGTTCCCAGGCATGTGTGAACAGAACAGGAGCTTTGATGCCAGCCTTAGGGTTTGTCAAAAGAAAGCTCACTGCTCAGAAGTGTTTGTGGCTTTTCAAAATTCATGAGGTGAAACATTTTGCCTTGAATGTCATCAGAACATCACCAGCGACTGCACAGCTGTACTGTTCCGGCTTGTGTGAAATGAACTGGTGGATTCTCAGCCCAGTTCATCATTGGATAATTGTATCACACAGAACACGCCCCTCTCCCTGCAAACCATTATCCTTGCCACTTTCATTGTCAGTCTCAGCAGAGAAGCCCCAAATTCACTGGTCCGTGGAGACTGAACTCCTTTTTCGCCCAAGAGGAGGTCGCATCCGGTGAAGTGTGTAACATTTGTAAGGGGCAGTGAAGGGGAAGCTTGCATCACCACTGCCTGTGCCATGCTTGTTCTGTACGTAGAGGACTTTGGTCTCCTGCTCTGCCAGCCCACTGGCTACGACAGCATTATATTTATTTATGGCCCATTTGAACCAGGAAAAGGAAGGAGATAATGTTTCCTGTTGTATTTCTGGGTTTTCCTCCCATTGTTTTGTGAATTGTGTTTTTTTTTAAATTTCTCTCTCTTCCCTCCTGCATGCTCTCTTCCCGATTTAGTCACACAAGCGCCTCTCTAAAGTAAGCTTTCTTTCTTCTTCCCCATTCTCCACCATAGAATTGTCGTAACACTCAGAAATCCTCCCCATGGTACTGGGAAATGGCCCCCAGAATGGGACATTCTCCCAGTGCATTTGTGGGAACGTTAGCAGCCACTCACCCCAACACCTGTAGCTGTGAGGCTGGGTTCGCTTGAAGTCACTGGGCTTTCATTAATATTCATTCACATGGCATGAGAACTGGCCCATTCATTACACTCCTTTATTTTACTTCTGTTTGATCCTGTAGTTTATTTATTTTGCTATTTGCTTTTCTTTAACCTTACATTGACTCGTTTTCAGTTTGCAGAGTGAGACGTCCAGGCTGTGATGGGTAATATAGCCCCATAGCACCATCTTTCTCCTCTTCCCACTTCATAACTTTTTAGAAGTTTGAGACTGGCCCGTTGGTCTGTGTTATTTCTCCACTACTTTTATGGCTGGTCACTTGCCCTTTCTGAGGTGGGGGATTCATGACAATTGATCACAGTCAGGCTGGACTCCGAGAGTTTTTCTGTGTGACATGAATATTAAAGATCAGTGACCTCAAAAGAATACAGCTGTACCCCTTAGAATAGACCTGCTTCCTATGGAACCCTGAGAATTCATGGGCTCACTCTGAAAGGTATGAATGGAAAAAGTCTCTCATCAGGGTAAGAAACCAACTCCCAGAGGGGAGGGGTATTTGGGTTTGAATTTTTGCATATCTGAGCAACAACTAAATTGCCTTCTGGAGATCATAAAAAAATAAAATGGGTGATGGGGCGATTAGGGGATAAAGCACTAAAGTGAAACAGTTTGAATGTCTTAGTGTCCCAAAATTCTGGTCTTTCCCAGGGGAGACCTTGGCTTCAAATGCTGGGTTAATTCCCAGTGAACATGGAAACTGATGGTCCTGTCTTAGTCCCCCATTTGTTCACATCACAGAATTTGGCTCAGCCCTGCATTATTGTTGGTCTAGGCTCAGGAGATGTTGCTTGTGGGACATGATGCTGCAAATCAGGATTGAGGTGGATTGAAAAGAATCCTGTGGGGAACCCCAGACAGAACAGCAGAGAGCTCTGCTGGGGCTGCAAATGGAGGAGCATTAGCAGAGCTATTTGGGTGGGATAGGTGGTGCTGGGAGGGATATTTCTGAAAGGGGTGCATTGGCCACCAATGGAATGGCAGGTCAGGATGGAGGTGCATTGGGAGAGCACTGTGTAAGTTCTCCATTGGAATGGCAGATGGAACTCCTGATTGACAGGTCAGGTTGGAGGTGCATTGGCATAGATGTGTGTGCAAACCATACACCAAGGTGCTAGCTTGATCCACTTCCCGTCTTACTCCTGCTTTCATGAGAACAAAATATTCTAAATGATATTAAAGAAAACAACAGTGCAATAAACCTGAGATGAGTTCTGAAATGGGGATGAGGGAGTTCTGAGCACAGTCCCCAATAGACAGACAGGCAGTTTATGTTCCTCTCTGCATTCACAAGCTATCTGTCCTGAGGAGGCACCTTTGGTGGAGCTGATTACGAAGATTGAAACCCCTTCTGACCTCAGGAGAGTTTGGTCGTGGATCAGGATTAATTCCCACGGGTGGCATAGTGTGGTGAGAGGAAGCCCAGGGCTAATGAACATAGTGGACTAAATTCCTCTCTCAGCTCAGATGATGATGTGTCTGTCCAGGGCAGGGATCATGGAAGATAGCAGTGTATGGGAACACACACAGACATGCAGGATGAAGAAATTCATATTTCATCTTTCAACCTTATTGTTTTATTTCAGCTTTTCGTTTTGCAAGCAGAAAAATATGCCACTTTCCTATGCAAACCAGCTCAGATTGGTGAGGGTGGGGAAACGGCTTGAGCCCATGAATTTGACACTGTGTTTATACAGTTGCTCATCGTTGTACAGTACTGGAGTAATTTTTGTTTCATGTTAGTTGTCATGACACAGTTCCGCCATCAGAGGGAGCCTCTTCACTTGTCATTTTGAATCATTTGAATAAGCCTGCTTTTCAGGAAGGTTCTTTTCTACCCCATCCACTGCTAACAGGTGAAATTCAGACAATCCACCAGTGCAGCAAGCAGACACATTGCTCCACCTCGGCCTTAGATTGCCAGCCAGCTGGGATACTCACTACACATGGGATAGAAGCTATTGCTTCGCTGTTAAAATATAAACAGTTTTTTTTTATTATTATTTTTTCCCTCTTGCCTATAAAAAGGGGTGACCCCCCTCAGAGTTAGTTAATCCCACTCACCCCCTAGTGCTGAGTCTGAATGGTGAGGATAAAATAGATCTATATTGTCAATATAGTTTGTACAGTGCCTCGCACCGTGGGGTTATTAGGTTTTATAGGAAGGATGAGCTTTCAATGTGTCCCGAAGGTCATTAGGGACGGGGTGGCGTGTTGGAGCCCATTCCATAGCTTTCCATGTACGACATGAGCCCTCCGGAGAATCACTGGATAAAACAAACAGGTGTTTGAGATATAGGGTATGTCTGCCCTGGGAGCTGGGGGTGTGATCCCCCACTTGTGGAGACGCTCACGCTAGCTCGCATCGAGCTACTGCATTCAAAACAGAGTATAGCCGTGGGACAGCACAAGCTGCGGGGTGGGCTAGCTGGCCTGAGGATGTGCCTAGGGTTTTTGGCGGGCATGTAGTTGGGGCCGCTAGGCCCCCCTCCTCCCCACACACCATACTGCTCATGTTGTTGCAGCTACATTCTGTGTTTAGTGTCTCTCTCCAATGAGTATGTCTCCTGAGCTGGGAATCTCACATTGGAGACAGTCTCTGAAGCTTCAGCCTGGTAATGGAATTCAATAGTTAACTGGGTAGCGTTAAAAGGGAAAGGTACCTAGTGGTTAGACTGGGAGTCAGGTCTCCAGAGTTTTATTCCCAGCTCTGCCGCTCACTCATTTTGTAACCTTAGGCAGGTCATTTCACCTTTCTGTGCCTCAGTTTCCCCAGCTGTAAAATGTGGATCATGTTGCTTTCATGCCTCGTGGAAGGTGGTGTGGAGCTGCATTATGTACAGTATGTGAAGTGCTTTGGATTCCTCTGGCAGCAGCACTATAGATGAGCAAAGTATGATCCTGCTCCCATTAAAATCAATGGCAAGACCTCCATTGACTCTGTGGGGAGTAGGACCACCCCTGTTGTACCAGCCAACAATCTGAAATTCATACAGACACGGAATGATCTGTTGCCTCCTACCCATAGTATTACCTTTAATGTACCAAGGCAGAGCTGCCATTACACACAGTATGATCCCTAACCCGAGCAAGTACTTGTTAAACAAGGTCACGTTAGAAAGATGTAGCAGGATATAAAGAAAAGACTCATTAAAGAGCCCCATCCCCTCCCTCGTCAAGGCGCCATGAGAAGTGTTATCTGGCTGCCGAAGATGAGTAACTGTGTGCTGTGATACCCCTGGCATCTGCCCCTCTGTGCCTATGTAGCGCTGTGTCCTGTTGATCCGTGGAAGCTCTCCTCAGTCCTGTGTGTGATTATTTCCACCATTTATGATAGATATTATTTATTTCCTTTCCTCCTTTCAGTTCTAATTGTGACAATTTCTTTTTCCAGTATGACAGACTTAACCTGATCAAAGTAAGAACTTGTTTCTTTCTTTTTTAAACCACCCGCTGATTCTTCTGGACTCTTTCCTTGATCCTGACTCCTTCCCACCTTGTAAAGAAATCAGTGCACAACCCGCTTTGGAGATGAAGCCAGGAGACAGTTTTAAGCGTAGGCTCCTGAGGCTGTGAGCAGGAATCTTCATCTTATATAAATGTTCGGGGTTATTTCAAATGGTGAGGTCTTTCTCTGATGCTTGTTACTCTGGTGCACAAGAGGAGAAGTCCATCAACCTCCCCGAAGCCACAATAGTCTTCCTCCTCCAGCTTCCTGTAACATGTGCGTCCACCATACATACCTCCTATTCTCTCTCTCTCTCCTAGGCTACTACACCCCATAATCCATTTCCCTTCAGTCTGTGCTCTCTCTAATCTCTCCCCTCTTGGAATTCTTCTATAGGAGCTCTGAGAGCAGACTAATGGCAGGAGACTGGAGGCTCAGGGAGAAGTTTAGGGAAACCTGATGTAGGTTCAGGTCACTTCTGCAAGATCTTATTGCTGCTTCTAAAGTTCCCTCTTACCCTAAAATTATTTCCATGCCTCGAACCAAACCTTGGCAGAAGTAAAACAGAGTCGCTAGAAAATGAATCCCTAATATAGGAATAAACGTAACAGGATGAACTTGCAACCTGAAAAAGGGTAAAGGAAATATAATAGGCAGTGGATCTGTTGAATAAATGCAGAAACAAGAGCATGTGCCCAGCTACTGAGTTTTCTGTAGAAACTATAACATGGGTTATAATAATGCAGGAGAGGATTCAGGTCTGGAGGGAAACTCACCTAGAGAAAAAATGACACCACCTTAATACAGAGTTCTCTATGCAACTAAGGCTGCTACAATTGCTGCAGCAGAGGGGAGTGAAATCTCTGTTGCAGTGCTCATTTCAGCAGCCTCAGTGGCAGCAAAGTCTGCATTTTCCTGTTACTTCTGGTTTGATTGTGGGGGATTACGTTTCAGGCACTTCTGTGCTTTGCGCTACCCAGAGGGTTGCAAGCTAGGGTAAAGAAAGTTGCGTGAGAACCTCTCCATCTCAGGTACCCAGATGCCATGGTGATGAGTTCTGGATGGATGGGTGGATAGACAAACTCTATCATTAGCAAGAATTGAGCCACACGATGCTCTGGTCTCTGTGCCGTTTGTGGACAAGAGTGGTTTTCTCCTTGTTTCTCCTTGCTCCTTTGGATGAGGACTCCCTTTGGGAGAAAAAGCAGCGGGTAAGACCAGCCTTGGAAAGGGGATGGGTCAGAAGGATGTAGCCAGTAAGAATTTTCCCCCTCCACAAGCTGATGGTTGTTTCTGTGTCTTGAAGATCTGTCTGCACTGTGATGCGCTTTCTCCTGCCCAGGTTTGTGGGAGAGCCCAGAAATGGACGCTTTATGTTTTTCAGGAACTCTGCTCCACGGGGGTGAGGGCCACAGCTGGTTGCATATTCTTGTGGTGTTTTTGCTGTGGTTCAAAAATGTCCAAGGATGCACAGGTCCTTTGAGTAGGGTTGGCTCCATGAATGAAGTCTGAGTGCTTGTAAAGTTCTGCACTTGTGCAGAAAGGTGGAGGGGTGGGGGAAGTTGAGCAATTTTCTGGGGTGGATTGTGAGTCTTCTGCTATCCCTGTCTCTGGTTTTCCACTGGAACAACCTAGATCCCCCTGGACACCTTTTTCAACTCACTCAGGAACTGATGCAAAGGATTCTGGGAAGCCTCACTCAAAAGCTGACCTCCTGATTCAAAATTAGGAGTATTCAGGTCTGATCATTTCATTCAGGTCTCATGGCCAGTTCCAAGTTGAGAGTTATGTACACGCTACCCTGCCTATAAAACGGGCATATATTGTAGAATGTGAAATTAATATGATTTTCATTTGATGCATGCCTGTTCTTGCCTGGCCTGGGGCAGATATGGACAGATGACATTTAGTGCTACCTGGTCTGAGCAACGTGAACTCAAAACTGCCGTGAAATCCATATGGTGTGAATAGCACAGCAGCATTTCTAAGCTAAGTGGAGGTAGCGAACTCCTGTTCCCAATACCTAGACATAGGCCAAGTATTTGTTGCAAAAAGATTTTTAAAAATAGCTTGTCGTCAGGTTAGTAGAATTGTAGCATTTTTGCAAACAACGTGAAGTGATCAGGGTGTGTAGAGGTGTCGAGAGGCAGCGTGGTGTAGTCGATAGAGCTAAGTGCTGGGAGCCAGCACACCCCTCCTCCTCTCGAGTTCTCTGGTACTGTCTGGCCTTAGTAATACTTTATATTTACAAACAGGCTCAACCCTGTACATCCTTAGTGTCATGAGACGCCCCAGCACAGTCAACAGGACTGGTCATTTGAGTAAGATCTACTTGCATGAAGGAGAGTTTGCGGATCAAGTCCACAGGAGCATTATGTTTCCCAATGTCCTGGAGGTAGATAATAAATATCATTGCCCCCTCTGGAGCCTGGAGAAGTAAAGTAATTTGCCCAAGGTCACAGAGCAAGTCTGGTTCAAAGAGAGGATTACAGTAGAGTCCAGGGCTCTAAATCCAAGCTCCTTCTGTAGTCCCCTAGACCAGACTGCCCCCTATGTCTCACTTCCACATCTATAAAATGGGGATAATCATACTTCAGGCATGTCTCAAGAGGATGAAAGTGCCACCTAAGCGATAGCAGTATTACTAGGGACACCATGTCGGAATGCAGAGCATATTTCTCTCCCTCCCCTTGCAATCTGACTGCTCTCACCTCTCACTGAAAAATGGCGAGCATGACTTTTCCGGCTGAACTGGCTTTTCCACGTGCTCAAATGTGACAAATGGCCCAGCCTCCCAAAACAGTGCGAAATGTCTCAATGACAGGGTGCAAAATCACAGGCAGAGGGGCAGAGAAACTCTTCACATCAGTTTCATGGAAAAATGTGCTCTCAGTTTTGCCCAGCTCTACTGAGCACTTCTATTACTGTAGTGTTCTCTCTCTCTCTCACGCTCTTTGTTTCACATGCTGCTTTCCAGATTCAAATCTTTTGGAGGGTCTGTCTGATGCCTTTTGCGAGTGACTGAAGTGAAATCAAGTTCCTAGCTCACCCTAGTAGTTCCTCAGGTGTTTATTTGGAAGGGGTCTCAGAACATGCTGGCATTTTTATCAGCTAGCCAGCAGGCCCGTGGGAAAATGAAGCTTGTAATAGAAATGATTGGTGATCATTAGCTCTAATGTTGCTAATGGGTGCTGCTGTTCTGCAGAAATGATTACAAAGTATGTGTATGTGTGAGAGCCTGAATTGCCTCCTGCTATAACCTCATACTTCCGGGTTTGTTCTTAACTCAGATAACTGGGAATAAACATGTTAGACTCTGCTCTGAAACCCATCAAAGTCTTTTGTATTTATTCCCACTTTCTGCTGAATAGTTATGCTGTACATACCAGATGGGTTCTAGTCTTTCTCTCTCTCTCTCTCTCTCTCTCTCTCTCATACTAAGATCTCTGCAATAACTAATACTTCTCTTTTATTTTGTCCTTACAGAAAAGCCAGAGTTGGTATAATGTAAGTACTCCAGTTTCTCTTGTCCCTTGGTACATGTGGGGGTGGTGGGGAAGGCGGGCTGGGTTAAAAGGGGCTTTGCAATGGCACTGGGGCATGTTGATCATTTCAGAAAAGGCGGGGTGGGGAATGGTTCAGAGCTGGCAAGAAGGGATTGGCTTCTTAAGGGAGGGATATCAGAGAGAAGAGACTCTAAGAATGGGAGCAGATAATGTGTCCTCTCAGTCACAGGCTTCCTGCTGTACGTACATAGTCAGGATCTCTCGATCCTGTCTCTCATTGGATCTCCTTGGAATGGAATAGAGTTTGGCTTTATATAGCACCAAACAAAGCTACAAATATATGAAAATGTTCACGCCTTTTGGAGTGGGTTGGAGGTTAGGGAGGGTAATCACCTGCCCACAGAGCTTGCAGGAACATAAACCGTCTTTCATTTCTGCCTTGAGCTGATATTTTTTTCCCTTTGAGATCATGAGTGGCAGCGTTCGCAGGCACAGTGCTGTCAGTTTTCAGATTTTCCACAAGCAAATAGCGTCAGCTTCCCTTGCACAGATGAACTCCGCCCTCCCCCAGGGTCTGATAGTAGATACCAGCTGTGCAGTGGCTATGCAGATGAGGTGTTAAATTAGCATCTTTCATTTAACACCTCATCGGAAAGACAGTGCCTTTCCAGCAATTACTACACATACGACTTTTCCTGCAATTGGACCTAGGTGGAAAGTGAGAGAATTTTTTGGGGACTATCGGGTGGGAAAAGTGCACCGTTTAAGAAAAGCCTGGCATGTTCCAGGGACTGATCATGGGGAATGGAGCCTTTCCCTTCTAGCTCACTATCCCAGGTCAGTAGCCGCTGAAAGTTGTGACTTTGGTGGCAGATGTTCAGCTGCCTTAGTTTGGTGAGTCTCCAGGAACAGGTGGCTGCCCCATCAGAAAGAAGTCCTCAGCAGTAGTCACTAACGTGAGGCTCTGTTGGAAGCTCAGCAGAGAGGCCAAGGACTGAATAAAACATGGAGATTGAACTCTCCTCAGACCCCAAGGTGGTCTCTGCAATCATGGGGAAAGTGCATGGCTGGGCTGCTCTGTTTACTATAACTTTGCTTAGGATAAAGAGACTTCAGAGCCAGATTTTCAAAGGCGCTCAGCTCCTCTTTAGACACCTAAGTGGAGTGCTCAGCAACCAGCTACTTCCATAACAGACAGCAGCAGCTATGGGGAGCGGAGCACTTTTAAAAATCTGGCCCTGGAACTCCAGAGTTGGGGCTGTGGCCCTTTTTACAGGCAGCACGCTTGCTAAAAGTACATGGTTTCAGGAGTGTTCATGGCAGTTTTTGGCAGGAGTGAATCACTGCGCAGGAGGTCTGGGTGATATGTCTTAGAGTCTTACTAACAGAAGTCAGTGTAACACTCAATATCTTACATCTCAGGCCATCAAACTGAGTTTGCTGTGTCCCTGGTATTAGCTAGGAAGACAGTGGCAGTGCAGAAGAACCGTTGCATCATCAGCTTTTCTGGGGAAGGGCAGTTTCTACTGGTTCTCCACAGTCCAGACTCTCAAAAGTTGTGGCTTTTTATTGACACTGACCTTGCGTTTTTCCTAGGGTATGGAGTATGGCCTAGATTTTTTAAAGTATTTAGGCAACTAACTCCTACTGAAATCAATGGGAGTTCGCACCTAAATACCTCTAAAAATCTGGACATATGTCCTCTATTCAGCAGTCAATACCTGTTCAGTAAAGCACTTAAAACACGTGCTTAACTTGGAGTCACATGGTTAAAGTTAAGCACATGCTTAAGTGGTTTGTTGAAGAAGGATGGATTTAACATGTCGCGTCTATGCTTTGTTGAATTGGACCCATCGGCTCCTTGATTAAGGGTTCCCCAGTCATCTGATGTAGACTACATGCTAACCTAGCAGTGATTAGTCCAGGCTTATTTGGCTTCATGCTTCACAAGGTTCAGGCTCTCCTGGCTAACAGTATTCCCAACTTCTGTATAGGCTCTTGGCAAGGCAGGAAAAGTTTAAAAACAAACAAACAAAAAACAAACCTGGGAGTAAAGCCAAATATGTCTAGAGGTGAGTGAGCATACCAGGATTTCTCGTTTCTCCTTTCCTCTCCCCTCCCAGGATCTCTCAAAAGTCTTTTTATCCTTTGGCCTAATTCTGTACCTATCTCTGCTGGGTGCTAGGAGAAGTCTGGGATCCCTCCAGCCAATCTGTGAGGCTCTGATACAGACCTCTAATGTCCATGATCACCTACTCTAGAGTAAGATGAATTTGGAGCCAATACACGTGGGAACCTGACTACTGGAGAAAGCAAAGCATTAGATCCCTCTTAACCTGGGAGCCTAGACCCCAGAGAGGTTGTAGCATGGAGATACCCTAGAAATTGATCCTATGTCTGTCTGATTCCACGATCTGTTGAGCTGTGTACACATCACAATCATGCAGCACTAGCATTTTTTTATGAGCGCTGAATCATGGAAATCACAGAGAGGAGATGTTTTATCATGTTGCACCAAAGTATCCTTCATCCACAGCTCCCACCCTCCAGTACGTACTGCCTGTCTCCTCTGGGAGTCTTGAGAGGCTGAGGCAGGACTTTGCTCTTCTCTCATTGCACAGCTAAAAAGACAACAAACTTTTCCAGGCACTTTCCTTCCTTCATTCACTCACTCACTTTGCACGTCTGCCTGACCACCACTTCCTGTTGTCACCATTTTTTATTTATTTTTAAATCCTCCATATCTCTAAAATCAAATCTCTTTGCTCACTAGTTCAGTTCTGAAATGAGTTTTGGTTTGAAACAGGAATTTTCCTCGTGAGAGGTGGGGTGTAGACAAAGAGACCTTGTTAGGAGGAGAAAGTGTTTAATAAGGATAGGCAGGGGTGAAGATGACAGCATGGGCAGAAAACGATAGACCTCTTCCTATTGAAGTCAGTGACCAAACTCTCTGACTCCAGTGGGAGCTAGTGTGGATCCAGTACGCACAGACAGGCAAGGAGAGGGACAGAAGCAAGGACAGGAGAACATCTGGCTTTGGAGGCAGATGGTGTTAGCAAGTGGTCAGAAGTGTGGAGAGAAACAAACTGGGTTGGAGGAAACGTGGATTGCAGACAGTAAGAAAAGGCGGAGAGGTGATCAGAAGTATTGAGAGCAGACTGACATGAACAGAAAGGTGGGGGTGTTCAGAAACACAGCGCAGACAGAAGGATCGTGAAGAAGTGGCATAAAGAAGCATGTAAAGAAGTCAGTAACCATAGCTGAAGGTGGCATTGTGTTTTATACAAGAGCTGCTTGTTTCTGTGACTGGTGGGAGCCATCCCATGCTGCATGATGCTTTGGTGTGATCTGCTTCTGTGGTTCTCTTGTGGTTTTGTGTCCGCTCTATCTTATCTTTCTGTTCTCTTGTTTTTCCTCCATGTATTTTCAGCATGAGAGACAGCACATCCGGAGAGTAAGCACTGGCTGCGTTCTGCGTGGTTTTTTTTCTTTTCTTTTTTTGTTCTAGTCCACAAAACCATTGTGACCAGATGAAAGCAGTAATGTGGAAACGGGGATGGGCCACCTGAGCTCCAGGAAGGGAATCAATGCTAGTGACAGCGTAACAGTTGTCAGTAATTTGCTACTGCTTTGCACTGTGTTGGGCCAGCCCCTCCCACACATCTTGCCAGGATCTCCGGCACTGGGGACAACCAGATGCTTTCCCTTCCCCTCACCTCCAGGGACAGATCCATAAATAAGAGTTCACCTCCAGGGAGCGTCTAGAGAACCCACCTTTGGTGTAGTCTTGCAGTTTAGTCAGCTCTAGGGCGTGTCTTTAAACCTGCACATATGAAACACAGGTACATCTGCACTGCACGCAGACTCACTCTCACCCTCACTTTGGAGTCAGCTCTTCCCTGAAGCGCTGTTGCCCGTCAGCTTTGTATTAATACACTGGCCTTGGCTGTGGAGGCACCAGCCCTATTCCTGCTGCTTTTAACTGGTTTTCTTGTTTCTGTCTGGCCTGCTATGTTATCTCACCTCCCCTTAACCCCACTTTGACCTGTCCCTGCTTCTCCAGTAGAGGTTGCTCCCTCCCATGTTCCATTTTCTCTTTTCTTCTTCCAAGACGATAGCAGCCTCTAGCTGTGAAAATTTGCTTTAGAACTCACCCTTCCTCTGCCTCATGGTGTGTTCTCTGGTGCCACCAATGCTTTCCAAGAGGTGCATGTGAGATTTGCATCAGGACCATATCAACTGGGGCAGGGGAAGAGTTTATAGTTTGTGAAGTTTAAGGTACAGAACCAATGGAAGAGTAGGCCCTTCTTCTCCAGTGGTAAGAGACCTTCCATCTGCCTTAGCCCTTCTCCTTCTATGCCCTGTAAATCAGTGGTGTAGGCTGACGGGCAGGTGCCCAGTCTGAGAGTTAAAATACAATACCAATTCAGGTCCCTTTCCTCTGGGCCAGCTAAGTACCTTAAGGAGATTTCCACAGAGAATTCTCAATAGCCAACAGAGGCCCTTCCAGCTTTCAGCAAGCAGGGCAGGGGAGAGGACGTGTCGTTCTCCTTTGGTGACCTTTCTTAGATATCTCATATGCCTCCTGCCTGGTACCCATGGAGAGAGTTCTCTCAGCTCTCATTTCCACAAGGCTGAGCCACCAGCAATCATCAATATAATGTCCAGTAGCCAGTATTGTGACACTTAGTCAGCTGCTCCGTCTGGAGACTACAGCTTCCAGCAACCCTGGTCATAAAGGGGCTAACAGATCTCCTGGACGAGTCTGAGCTCACGGGGCCAGTGCTCAGTTCCAAAGAGCTTCCCAGCTTTAGAAAACCGCATCGCACACCTGCCGTGAGAATGTGGGCTGCGGCTGAATCATATAGTCCCATTTCTGATCCAGAGTGAACACATGCAGCCCTGCACCTGTGCTCATATCTCCTAGGTTGAGGAGCATGGATTTATTGGCTGGCTGGTTGAGTTCAACAGTAGTGAAAAGGAAAAGCTGCCCAAGGCATTTCCAGAGCCATTGGTGAGGAGCAGCAGACTTGGGACCTGGCTTGTCAGGATTATTAGCCTGATTGATTAGAAGTCCATTACTAACCACCTGCAGACCTCTGCAGTCAACGTTTAGCCCTCAGGCTGCCCTCTGAGTGTCCCTCTTCTGGGCTTAAGTGCTCTGTGTCTGCTCATCAGTTTTGAGACTGAGAGGCGCGGGCATGCAGTGACTGAGATCAGCAGTGAGTCGCCACGTAGCTCTGTTTACTAAGAAAGTTGTCTGTCTGCATTAGCACAGGTCTCTTGTTGTGAGAGAAGGGGTCTGGTATGTCATCTCCTCCTGTCCAGTGACTCTAAGGTGATGGAGCTTTTCTCAGGCCTGCTTCACCCTAAAAATGGTTTGCCAGTATCGCTCTAGCTACAAACCCTTCTAGTGTAAATGCAGTTTAGACTGGCAAAAAAGTGTTTTTGCTAGAATGGCTTGTATCGGATTCCTGAGTGATAAGCTATACTGGCAAAAATACTCGCTGCCAGTGTAGAAATATTACTAATAAAATCCCCCCCCCCCCGCTATATCTGGCCTCAGTATTGTCACACAACCCTCCCTGGAGCATCTGGGCAATGGAGTGTCTCGCAACCAGCTTTGGGGAAAACAGAGCAGTAGCCCCCCAGATGGGCTGCTGGGGCCCTACTCCAAAAAAGGGCAGTCAAACTTTGGGGCTATGTTGGCAGCTTAGAAGGAACCTCACGTGCAGGCAAATGGATACAATTCTGTCCTTCACTTCCCCTCAGAACAAACCCATGCATCCCTGATATTTGGTTACGGGCATAGGCGCCGACTCCGTGGGTGCTCTGGGGCTGGAGCACCCACGGGGAAAAATTGGTGGGTGTGGAACACCCACTGGCAGCTCTCCGCCCCGCCCCCCTGCCCCAGCTCGCCTCTGCTCTGCCTCCACCTCCTCCCCTGAGCGGGCCACTGTGTCCTGCTTCTCCCACCTCCCTCCCAGAGCTTGCGCCACGAAACAGCAGGAGGGAGGGGGAGGAGGAGGAGGAATAGGGAAGAGGCGGGGCCAGGGCGGGGATTTGGGAGGGATCCAATAGGGCCGGGGCCGGGGGGGGCGCAAGCTCCCACCGGTGCCAACAAAAGTTGGCGCGTGTGGTTATGGGTCGAAATTGCTCACTTGTGTGAGTTTACCGGCAGTGGGACCCAATAGCTTATCAACTCAAACTGCTATTACGTACAGGGGAAGAGGACTGTGTTATGGGCATTGTGGTAGATGTACGAAATCGCTTCACTGCTGTTTTTAAAATAGGGTGTGTTTGGTAGAGCTGTTGTGCTGTGTGGAATGATTCTTCCAATCCCCTTCTCCTGGAGAATGCAGCTACCGGTAGCTGTGCATGGGGTGTCAAGAGACCATCCCTCCAGTGGAACAGCTATTTCTTAGCACTGGGAAGAAACCAGGCCCAGGGCAATATGGTCCAACCTCAAGGTTTCAGAAACCACGAGTCAGGCTCCCAAAATCATGAGATTGGCTAAGAGATCATGGGATTTGAACTATAATAAATGTTGGGGTCTTTTTCTTTGCCTCCTGGTTTTTGAGACATTAGGGATCATGTTGTCAAGCTTTTCCCCATAGCCTCAAGGGCTAGAATCTTACTTTATTTTAAAATGAGAGCTGGGATTGTCATGTAATAACATTGGATCTGTGAGAAAAATACCAAATATTGTGAGGTTGCAATAAAATGGTGAGAGTGGGCAACACTGGGAGAGGGTCTCTGAGGCTTAGTAAAGGAGCTGAGATTAGGGAAGTATGGAATAGTGTAAGGCCTAGTGCAAGGAAATCATGGAGGTGAAAGGGAAAGCCAACATCTACAAGAGTGAAAATGGGCATGAACAACAAATTTCAAATCCAGAGTCAAGCTTTTCCAGGATTTGGAGTGTTTGGATCTGGGGTTCTGGTCCAGCCCGTTCTAGAGAGAGGGCCCGAGCCATGAAATCAGGTTGCAGAACCAATCCAGTCTTCCCAAAAATTTGTGAGTTTTCATATCCACAATTTGGGCTTAGGCCCATCTCTGGCACAGAGCTAGCATGTGGGAAGCAGGAACTCTCTTAACCACTAGCAGGAATCCCCCCACCCAGTAAATGTTTTGAACATTCTATATGTGTATTCTGGAACCATTTCACTGCCATAACATCTTTCTTTCTTTCTTTCTTTCTTTCTTTCTTTCTTTCTTTCTTTCTTTCTTTCTTTCTTTCTTTCTTTCTTTCTTTCTTCTTCTTTCTTTCTTTCTTGTTCTTTCTTTCTTTC